TTTTTTTTATTAGGCCTGAAATTAAATTGCATATCTGAAGCAAAGCTGAAATATGAAGCTCAAAAAGGCTTGGAACCCCATTGCCCTATTTCTGCATATTTTGTTTCTTACGGAGGTCATAATTTTGAAGAGTTCCTCCAAGGACAGGAAACCATCTCCATTAGTGTCAATCTTACGAAAGGCTTTCATAATTTCTTCTTCACTTGTGACAGGCTCCTTACGACAGATATCGACGAAATCGTCAAATGACAGGCCCTCTGAAAAACACCAATCATAATGGGAATATCAGCTGACAATTAAAAAAAAAAGTAAAAAATAACACCTGGTATATATATTAATGGAAAATCATAATCTATTTTAATTATCATAAATAAAGCCTTATTTCTTTTATCTTTATAAATTTTTTATCAAACCTTGTAGAATCTATTTTTTCAGAAAAATGGAGTTATACAAGTGGATGTCCCTAGCAAACACCTTTAAATCTGCATTTTTGTCTTTTACTTAAATATTTTTAAAATGTAAAACTTTAAATTTCACTTAGAGAATTTACCAGTATCAGAGCGCCAGTATTTCTTTAACACGCGTTCAGTTGGATTTCTGCCCGTTTCTTGTAATGCTGAAATTAAAAATAAGATATACTAATTTCAATACATGTATTAGATAACAGGGCTCAACCTGGAATCAAATATTGCAGCAAGCAGCTACCTTATACAAATCTTAAGTGTTGTATAGCATGTTGACATGTATTTCACAAATATTATGTCAATATTAAATACTAGAATGACGTAGCCCAATTTCTATATACATCTACTCAAAAGAATTCTGTCAATCGTAAAATTTACTTCATCAATCTGTGTCTTGTTAGTCTTGAATCATTGCCACTTAGAGAAATGATTTCCCTTATTCTTGTGTATATATAACAGAACTGTCTATGGCAATAAAGGGGTGTAAGAAATTTCTATCTTACATTCTAATCACGCGTATGACGTCATAAAATTGAGAAATATTCTGATGCCGCAATGGAGTTTTGTTGTTTCTGAGCTGATCGTTGTGATTGGAATAAGAGGAAGATACTTGTTCGTACCAGAGGCATAATAATAAGGAAATTCTACACTCTGGCTTTTCAAATAGGTGCGAAACCCCTACAGTGAAAATTCCCTGTCCTACAGCCTTGGGCATGAAAGAGTTATATATATAATTTCTTCATTGTTATTTACACAAATTACGACAGGAATCAGTTGGATGAATGATGATTGATAACTTCATGTTGTTTTAGGTCAAATTAAACGGCTATTACCGTATTACGGTATTAAAGACAAATCTGTCAACATATATAATCTGCCAAGAACAAAGTCTTCAATATTGTATCTCAAACTGTGACAATATAAAAAGTTTTGTAGTAAATATCAAGAATTCTTGTTTATCCGGAACATATCTGTTGCAAAATACACTGATCTAATCAACAAAATGACAAAAGAATGGCTTCCCAAACATTTTTGTGCAATTTTAGGTTATGGTAATTATTATGATGTAATTATTTTTTCCCCAGTGTCATTTTGTTTGGCATTGTACAACACTGAAAATAATCCTGGTTATTCCTTATAATTGAATTTCAAAACACAGACAACACTTTTAAGAGCATAGTTGATGAATATTCACTCATTTCTGATAAAAACGAAAAGCAACTTTGCGCAAAACAAAGATTGCACTGTAATTTCTTCACTGAACAAATTCAGTCAATCAGAAGATAGATTACGAACGACAACATTGCGGTATATAACGTCATCACTTTTGATGTTGTCTTTGTCTTGTAAAGTTATAACTTGAAAGAGTCCTAATGAAACAGAAATACGGTACCTTGAAGGAGAACAGACTTGCTTGTGATGTCTTTCCTGATGTCGTCTAAGACCTCCCTATACGCTGCCTTACAGTCTAAGATGAGTTCACCATCGGATATGGACGATCGACTCGAACGGCGAGACATGGCTGTTGTTTGTGACTTAGATGCAGCAAAATTCAAATCTGAAACAAAATACAAACAACTGCTGTTCAAAGTCTAGATATGGTTAAATTGGTACCGGTTCTCACTATCTTGTTATGTGTATTTGTTATTACTTTAAGTAATTATATGTTTAACATAAGAACCAGATATACAGGGATCGACACTAACACTAGTTCGTTAGTCCTGGACTAGTAGATTTCAGCAAGGACTAGTGAATTACCTAAC